CTGGTATCAGGAGAGAGGACTGGTGAACTGGAAAACAGGTCAACAGAAGCATAGAAAATAACATATAAAACTAGTCTGTGAAGGAGAAAAATGGGCTAGAAGAAATAGTTGAAAGGGTATGATATAAATTGAGCTGTTTAAAGAACAAGTATGATAAATACAAGTTACTCATACCTCAGCATGCCACAGAAAAACTGTTGAAAAGTCAAGATAAAGCAGTGTTATTATAAACAGCCAGAGGAGAAGAGCCACATATAAAAGAATGAAATCAGACACCATCTAATACTGTACACAAAAATTAATTCAAAATTAAAGACTTGAATTGGAGACCCAAAACTGTAAAATACATAGAAGAAACCACAGGCAGTAAAGTACATGACATCAGCCTTAGCCCTTTCTTTGTGGATTGGGCACCAATGGGAAGAGAAACAAAAGCAAAATTAAACAAATGGAACAATATCAAACTAAAAAGTTTCTGACAGTGAAAGAAACTACCACCAAAACGGAAAGGCAACCTACTGAATGGGAGAAAATATTTTCAAATCATACATCTGACAACAGGTTGATATCTAAAATACATAGATGGGGCCTCCCTGGTGGCGCAAGGAGGTTAAGCACCGCACTATGAAGCAATCTGCAGCCTCTGCAGCACTAGTTCGATCCCCGGCAGGCCAGGGAGAAACCCATAAGGTGAGGCAGACCTCTCCTATCTTGCCCGCTGTTCCCCTCAGCAGTATATTTCGGTCAGTCTGCCTGTTCTGTTCCCCACTCTGTCTCTGGTGGATCCTCTCACCCCCCGCCTCTCTGGCCTGTACCCCAGCTCTTGTATGCATAAATAAAAAAATCTTTTAAAAAAATATAGAGAGAACTCGTACAGCTCAACAGAAAAATCCTCCCAAACAACCCAATTAAAAATGTACAGAAGACCTGAATAGACATATTGCCAATGAAGACGTGCATATGGCTAGAAGCACATGAAAAGCTGATTGTCATTACTTATTAGTAAGAAAATACAAATATAACTGTCAAAAAGATAAGAAACAAGTGTTGGCAAGGATGTGGAGAAAAGGGAACCTTCATACACTGTTGGTGGGACTCTACAATGGTGCAACCATTAAGGAAAACAGGGTGGAGGCTTCTAAAAAAATTAAGGATAAAAATATGACATGATTTACCTATTCCAAAACTGGGTACTTGTACAAAGAAAAGATATATGTGCCCCTATTTCATTGCAGCATAATTCACAATAGTCAAGATATGAAAACTCCCACCCATGACTGAATGGAAAAGAAGGTGTAAAAAGAGATGATTTTTCTTGCCAACTATAGACCTAGAGGGTATTATGCTAACTGAAATATGTCAGACAGGGAAAGACAAATACCACATGATTTGACTCTTGCACTATACAGATGCAAAGTAAACAAAGAAATAAAACTAAAACAAACTTTTTGATACAGAAAGAAGTAGATTGGTGTTTTTCAGAGGGGAAGAGGGCTGGGGGTTGAGTAAAATGGACAAAGAGGGTCAAGTGCATGGTGATGGATGAAAATTATACTGTGGAAATAAGATGATGATCCTGATGTAGTGTTTATACTACAATTACAATGTTGTATACCTGAAACTTGTACAATCTTATAAACTAATGTTACCTCAATACAAAAATTATTTAAAAGAAAGCAGCCAGAGAAAAAGAGCCACATTTCTTTCAATTGAGAAATAACATTGACAGCTGTCCCTTCATAAAACATTAATAGATGTCAGAAGTCAAGGATAGGCATCTTTAAGTGCTGTAAGAAAGTAAATGTCAACTGAGATCCTGCAGTCAGTGAAAATATTATTCAAAAATTCAGGCAAAAAGATATTTTTAGGTAAAAAATGAATGAGCAAATTGGTCACTAACAGACCTGCCTGTGCTATTCTTAAAACAAAATTTCTTTAATAAAAGAAATCTTTAATCAAAGAATTATTTAATTTTGATTAAATACGTCATCCCACATGGAAGTACAGAAACATAAAAATATAATAATGTAAATGATAAATGGGCAAATATAGATAGGTATTTATTAAATACAAATAATTTTTGAAATTTAAAATATATGTAGAATCAAAATATATGACAACAATATCTCAAAAATAGAGGAGGGGATAAAGGGAGTCAAATGTTCTAAGGTCTTTGCAGTATCTAGAAGTGGCAAAAATGCTCATTTAGTTTTACAAGTCAAGGATGCATATTTCAATTTCTCAGAAGTTACTACATGAACATGATAATGATATATAACAAATTATTAGATGGGAAAATAAAATAGTAAAAATACTGAAAAATTCAGAGAGGTAGGAAATAAGAAAGGAGAAATATATAAAAATGCAACAAATAGGAAAATAATATTAGGACTAGTAGATTTGAACCCAAATATATGAGACTTGCATCAAATGTGAATGGACAAAATAATGAAAGAAGACTAGGATTATCAGAATTGATTTAAAAATATTAAAACCTAAGTAGACATTACTCATAAGAGACATGTTCTATATATAAGATTAGATTACAGAAATCTTGGGAGAAGAAAGGATAGAAAGAAATATATCATGAAGACACCAACCAAAAGAAGTCTAGCATAGTTATTCTAACACCAGGTGAGGTAAACATTAAAGCAAAAAACATTTACAGACACAGAGAGGTGAGTTTTAGAATAATCAAGTGTTAATGCATTGGAAAGATAAGACAATTTTTAGTTTGTATGCCCTTAACAACACAGCTTCAAATGTTCAAAGAAAAAGCTGATACAACTAACAGGAGAAATAGATGTATCTACAATCACAGATATCATATCTACTACACAGATACTTAACAAAAGAATCTAGAATATTCGCACAAGAATATTAAACAACTGCAGAATTCATATTATTTTCAAGTGCACGTGGACAATTTATCAAGATGGATCACATGCTGGGTTGTAAAGCAAGTCTCAATCAATATCAAAGGACTATAATTATATATGGGGTGCTCTCTAACCACTGTGGAATTAAGCTAGGTATCAATAACAAGGAAATAACAAGGAAACCCCCAAATATGTGGAATTAAGCAATGTGCTTCTTGGCAGTGGTGACTATGGGAGGTATTTTAGGAAACCTCTGAGGGGGTAGACCCAGCAGGCATTTGCCAATGTAAAGTGAATGTTGGTTGATCTCAGCTTGTTGGCTTCCAGCTCACGCCATTTACCTTCACTGTTTTGTGAAAATTAGAGCATTTACCCATCCTTCACATTCTAGCTGTAGGACAGGACCTTTTAAGTTTATACCATTTTTACTATAGGTATTGTAATATTATAGCTTCAAGACCAAAACATTTACCTTGAAAAGAATTCATCAGATAGGCAAGAATAAAAAAACCTAAGCTATTAAATCTAAATTACCAACTGACATTTTAAAGTAAAAATTGAAGATGCAATTGAGTGAATAAATGGAGAAAAAGCTCAATGTCTCTTAAAAAATCTTCTAATAACACACAAACACATTCTTTAAAATTTAATAGGGAGTTCATTAATCCTCATGACCTAGGACTTAAGTGAAAACATGAGTTATTCAGTTAATATTTGTTGAGTCAACTACCTTGTAGGCAAAAATAAGAAATCTTTTCTAAAAAGATAACTTTCGAGAGAGGAATAGATGTCACTTTGCAATAAATGGGACTGAGTTTCTCACCTATAATTTAAACTCTGGGTTTGGAGAGTTTAACTACATTTCCTAAGATCATTTCAAAATACCTAATGTGGAAATTCATCACATGAGGAAGCAGAGTGCTGCAGCTGAGAGTATGGCACATGGGTGCTGTGCTCACATCCCACCTGCCACTCATCTCTCACACTGGGGAGTAGTTATCCAGAGTCGTCAGACTAAGCACATCCTCCACTACCAAACTGCAAAAAGGGGTTAATGAAACTACCTCCCACAATCAAATGTGCAACGAAACAAAGGTGGAGCATCCAGCTGATAGAGGTGGGAGGATAGTAAAGACCCAGCAAAGGGCAGGACTGTCATTACTGAATCTAGGTCAATAAGAAAGGCCATGGTCCTGACCCCCAAAGAAACCACGACCACAGCACATTCCGCCAGATATACTCCTAAATTGAATACAAATTCAGCAACTGAATGTAATGTAACCTTGTGCCCACAGACCATGCCCAAACCTTGCTCCCCTGGAATAAATGAGAAAGGACAACCATAATCCACAGTCATAAAAGCAGAGTTGCTGAGAACAAAGGATCACTCTCCAGAATAAACTAACTTGGTTATTTATAAGCTCTTGTACCACCTTATTGTTGCCAAGAAAATCTGCTTTGCCTTTTGCTGCTGTTCTGTTTGGCCTCTCACTCTGTACTTGCTGGAAAAAGGTATTGTTATGCTAAAATAACCATGGGACGTGCACAACTCCACACCAACTAAGGTTGAACTATGAAAAAGGCCCTTTAGCATGAAAAGTTATTTTCTTATGGGTTTTAACAAGATTCAGTGATTTTGTTCTCACAATGCGCTTGTATTTTCAGCTTTCCAAAAAAAAAAGAAAAGATAAAAATGTGAAAAAGTATTATGGCAAAATACCTCCCTTGGGCCTCCCCTGGTGGCACAGGCAGTTGAGAGCAGTGCTGTGAAGCTGTCTGCAGCCTCTGCAGCGCGGGTTTAATCCTGGCTGGCCAGCGAGAATCCCACATGGGATTCCTGCCTGCTGCTCCCCTCAGCAGTGTATTTTGGTCAGTCTGCTTGTTCTGTTCCCCACTTTGTCTCTGGTGAATCCGCTTACCCTCCCATGCATCTGGCCTGTACCCTGGATCTTGTATGCATGAATAAATAAATCTTAAAAAAAAAAAACCACCACCCTCTCTCCCATGAAAGAGCATTTTGATTTTGCAGATAGGGAGCCAGCAGGGGCTGCAGTACACAGAATTAATATTGATCAGCAATCATGGCTATGACCACAAGGGTCATGTTCAGCAGGGGATTACCTCTTTTTTGGTGAATTTTGGTGAGTGATCATTTTTGTCATCGATCATGATTGTCGCTGTGGCTGTGCCTGTTAATCCAACATCCATTCCAGTCATATCTTGAGCTTCGATAATCAACTCATACTTGGGATTTTCCAGGGTCTACAAAGCAAAAAAAACACAACAGAGGACATGGCATTTAGATTCGGGCTACACTTGGGATGGGTAGCAAGCATGTGGCCTGGCTGCTCTACATCCCCCTCCAACAGGTGTTTTTACCAGTCATTGCAGTTTCATTGATTATGTATAAATATGGGAATCTTTCCAATACAAGGCAGTCACTACTCAAAGATTGGATTTGGCCATGGGGTGGGATCTACTCACTGCCCTTATTTAAGGGGACATTATATGCATTCCAGAATGTTTCATATCCTGGGTTTGAGCAAGCATTGCATGTTTGATACCTACCTGTGCCATTTCACTTGTGAAAGTGATCTGGAAATAAGGCTAAAGCTGGTGATGAGATAAAGACAAAGAAGGAAGCTCTAGGAATTCACATTTACTGAACACTTTGGATGGGCCAGGCATTGGATCCATGTTCATTTCAGAAATCATTGTTAACTTTCCCAACAAGCATGCTAAGTTGCATGTATTATGCCCATTTTACAGGTAGAAAAATACAACTGAGCTTTAGAGTCACTGGTATTTCACTTTTTTCTATGTTTTGGGGGGTCATTTTAGTCTTTTGTGTCATGTGAAGTTTGGAAGATGCATTTTAATCTAACCATGATCTGTAGGACTCCACTATTGTCTCTCAATGTACGTAAGCTTTTCATTGGGATATTGACAAGTGTTCTGCCATGTCTAAACTTATAAGCAATGAACCAAATGACCCTGATCCCAAGATGGAAAGTGCAGGGGTTGGTAAACAAGGACCCCTGTATTTAAATTGCCTTTTGTGGTGGATTTTCTTGTTGTGGCCAACAGCATGCCATTCTTTGGTAGGGCAGCATCCCACATTTCCTTTGGGGACCTACTATCCCTTATTCTCTGCCTACAGGGTTTAGGTTGGATTGCCTTTCCCACCCTCCAACTTTTGGAATGAGCCTAGGTCAGAAGCTAGTAAGAACATGCCAGTCCAGGGGTATGATGGCGAATCCAGGCCCAGGTTCCCTAGCTGGGAAGGAAGTGCTGATTTTCTGTGGTGTGAACTTGGAAGCATTTAGCACAGGATCTAGAGAGCCACCTCATAAGCACAGCAGGGGTGCGTGGGGTGAGGAAGTCTGTCTGAGAAGGAAGCCAATCTACAGATAAAATTAGTTAGACTTGAATCTTGGTGAAGAAGCAAGGCTTCCACAATTGCACAGGATCACTCCAACGTGTCATGCCCGAGACCATGCTGTGCCCAGGGGCTTGCCAGCTAACTAGAGTATTTGTTTGCTTTTTCTGCTTAAGCCTATTAGGATTGGTTTCTTAATCTTAAATTCACACAGTGAATTTGAATTGAACTACCTTCAAAAACAAATCTAAATGGCTTTATTTTTGTTATGGAAGGTTATCTTCAATTGCAAACTATCTTACTAGTACCACAGTATCAAAGACCACTGGCTAGACAACCAATAACTAAGAAATATCCTGAGAAGCAAAGAACAAAAACAATGGCGGATCTCTAATTCCCTCAGAGAACATTAAGTCCACATTTAAAGTTTAATGGCTCAATGCTAGCTGTCCCCAAAACCTTTATGTAATTTTATGGGGTAGTGAGCTGCTTGTTCTCTGCAGCACCTTCAATTGGTTGTTCCTTTAACTTCTGAGATAGTACCTGAGAGTAGAAGCTCCGCTGGATGGTTTGGTGAGGCTTTTAGCTCAAATTCCAGAGGAGGAGTAGAGGCTAATGTTGACGTACTATTGTGACAGGGTTACTCACAGGGTTTTTGTCTGCAGCTTTTTTGAGATAACTTTGACCCATAACAATGTACAAGTTGAAGGCCTGCCATGTGATACTGGAGACGTGTATATATTATGAAGGAAGTAGCACCAGGAGTGAAGGCCACAGTCTTCTCTAACTGCTTGACATGAAATCTGGCTCCCGGTAATTCTGGTTCTGCCTGGTTCAACTGGCATCTTTCTGCAAAGGTGCTTGAAATGCCATCTACCCTCAAGCTGACGGGGCAAAATCATCAACCTCATGTAAGTAACTTTCTACGTAGCATTACTGACAAATTGGATTGGATTTACTATTTGCTATGAATTTTGTAGCTACACTATATGAAACTAATAAATTGGTCTATCTTCAGAATCTTCCGGAGTACCTCTAGACATCCTAACCTCCACCTCAACCTAATTTTTCAGATAACATTTTCACTTTTGTAATAAAACATCACACATTTTTGAAGCATATTATCATAAAAATAAAAAATTATGTACATTTTTTTGATACATTTTTTGAAGAAATCATGGTAAGGTTAACATCACTTTCCCCATGTAATATATTTACCAACATAATTCCTTGACATTTATTTTATGGGTTACATAAAATATAATTATGTATTTCATAATTTACTTCGCCATTTTTATTATTAGGACTTTAGGTTATTTCTAGTTTTTTTTTTTTTAATTTTGCCTATGTTAAAATGACACTGCAATGAACATCTTTATTCTGGAAGCTTTAATATACTTTCACTTTCTTTTTGAATGACAGATGCTAAGAAGTGCAATGACTAGGTCAAAGCTATGTACATTTTAAGGCTCTTTATTCATATTTGAAAATTGCTTTCCAAGAAGATGTTAATGATTTCCATACTACTAATGCTACCAAATTTCTCAGTATCCCAGGCATGGCTCACCCAGGAAGAACAGCTCACTTTGTCCCATGATGCAAACTGGCCAATGAGCGGGATTCTATGATGACCCCTAAAGAGGATGCAAGTTCCTCCCAACATCTCTCTTCTCCAAGCCCTTACACATCACAGTGTGGTTCCCAGCACCAGCTGCAGTGGACACATTCCCTCCTTCCTCGGGTGCCTGGGCTGTCATTCCTTCAGGTGCTGTGTCCCTCCCTTCCTCATTCTCGGCACATGTGTGTTCAGGGAGGATTGATCCACCTGATCTGGGAGGGGGTGTGTCACGTGGCTCCCTATGACCCAAGTAGGCTGCTGAGATTGAAACACAATTCTTGGGCATATATCCTGCAGGACTCTTAGATGAGAGTTCTCAGGTGGAAGGTGGTAGGGCACAAAGTTGTAGCCGCTTATGGCCATTTGCAACCACACAGAGAAAGTCAGTCTGAGAAGGAAGATAACACGGAGATGGGAAGATCAGGAGCTTTAATACAGTCTGAGCCTCCTTAAGAGGCATCTTTGAAGCCAGATTTTACCCCTCAGATTTTGTGAGTTCTGTGAACTAATAAATTTCTACTTTTCCTAAGACACTTAAATTAGATGTTCAGTGAGTAGCAAGGGGAGTTCTGTCTAGTATTACAGCTAATACTGTCATCAATTATTTGGTTATTTGCAAGGAAGTATGAGGCTATTGTTTCAAGCTACAGTATCATAACGGCTCTTCACAGTAGCATAGCAATCATTTCACGAATATACTATTTTTCCTTTTAACATTGTTCCCTCTGCAGAAACATTTTTTTGGGTCAAAGTTACTATTTTTTTATGCATTAATTTAGTTGGAAGTTATTGAATGTCTAGTCTAAATATTGTGCTGGGTATTGGGGATAGAGGAGTGGGAAAACAGGGTTCCTTTCCTCAAGGAATTGGAAGAGATTTAGGGTTGAGGAGAGGCATGTCCATATGTACCTGTAGCAAAATAGCGTCATGGCTAAGCAGAGATGTGTATTAATTCTTATGACAGCACAAAGGGTTTAACACTCTGGTAGTTCAACAAATTTCACAAATAATAATAAAAAAAATGAACCCTCCAATTCCTGTCTCCTGAAGTAAATAAAACTTTATATGATTGCAATGGAAATTGATTGATTAACCTAGTAGAAAATCAATTAGACTATTAAGCAGATAAATTGCAAGATTTGGGATGAGATGTTCCAAAAGGCTCCATTTCCTGGCAAACTTAAGGCTATCATTAAATTTTTTATTATGGAAGAGAAATGCAAATTACAGTCATTTCTAAAGGAGAAAGTGACTAGCTCTTCTATCCAAATCCAAGAGGTAAAAACCATCTGTAGTCTGGTGTCTCCTTCCCTCCAACCTTTGACATACACACTTATATGCAAGTATGCTTACATGTATATGTTTGCATTATTATGCCTTCATATATTTATATATATTTATATAGGGACATTTATACATATATACATATATGATTTGCTTTACCATATCATTTTCACTTCAGCACTTATAGATCTGTCTCTACATCTCAAGAGTTGTGTAACAATCCACCATATGGATTTATCATAACTTATTCAATCATTCCCTATTGAATGGTCACTTATTTGACTTATTTTCAAGTGTTGTTTTTAAAAAGCAGCTCTAAGATAAAAAGTCCACCATCTGGACTCCATTTGGGATTTTTCTGCAGCACACATTACTGATTTCTCAATGAAAACAGCAAGAACAAGAAACAAACTAATACTGTCAGCACCGGCTGTAGTGGACACGTGCACACTCCATTGAAGTGTGAGACTAGAAAACACCCCACATGGATCCCCTTGCTCATGCATAAAGAATAGCTCCCTCTTCTCTCCGGCCTACTTTCTCCTGTGCAGCCAGGCTTTCCAGCACGTCTTCCCTGAAATCCCTAGCTCCTGCGGTCTTTCTTGCTGGAAATACACACACACACTCCTGTTCTGGGCTGGTGGCTCGGGGCTTGTTACTCTGTGGGGAGAAATTCTTTGATGCTGCCCACAGCCGCCCCCTAGTCCGGGGTCATGCTTGTCTCCCTGCCCAGATGCACAGATCACCCCCTAATCCCTGGGACAATTGGATTCTGGAAATAGGTAGGGTGGAACAAGGCATCCCGGAGACAATGCCCTGCCCCTCTCTTGCCTCTCTGCACACTGCCGATCAAGGTAATGTCTTGAATGCTTTGAGAGGAAACTTTCCACATGTGCACTCCTCTCTACCTAGGGAGAAGGCATCTGCCCCTGGGGGCTAGACCTCCAGTTGTCCAGCTGCTCTGTCGCCTCAACAGGTGTG